CTTATTGGCCAATCAAGAAAATCGTTCATATCACTATTGAAAAACACCGAAATGATACAAGAAATAACAATGCTCATAACAGAAACAATTTGGCCTGTCAAAGGCCCGATAAAGAGATTTTTGGTGCTAATATGTCGTCCGTATAACGGAGACAGATCACAACTCAACAATAACAACAATCGAAGAATGGGTAAACGATCAGGAATCGATTAAATCAGATATGGATCGGAGGATTGCACAAATAAGGGGTTCTGGATGGGACGAGGAAGATGGAGGACAGGGAAGAGGCATACCAAATCTTAAAGCGAATCAATAGATTTATAAATGATTACGGGTGGAACTTGCACTGTTTACATACATTATTATCTCAACTTTGAAAAGGAGCTGGCATGTTCATAACAATAACGATGATAATAATAATAATAATAAGTACAGGTAACATGAGACAAACAACGCACACTCCAACACAAAAACAAAAATCTCAGAGAACAACTGAAGAATGAACGAGAAAATCCTGAAGACAAGACAAAATAAATAAAGGATCGATCAAGCCGTTGCATTCGAACGCATTAAGAGATCACTTAATCGACGCAACTCCTTCAACATATCATAACAACAACAACGAACAAATAATGAAGGTGTGATGACAGCGAAACAATCGAAATTAAGTGACTCACTCTCGTCGAGTGCATCAACCTGATCGACTCCAACAATACGCATTCACTAAACAATTTACAATTCGTCCCTGTCCTTGTCTTCTGTTGGTGGTGGGGCACCTCCGGCATCCTTGTACAGTTTCGAGACAATCGGCTGCACTTTAGCTTCCAAATCCTTCTTCTGCTGTTGCAAATCTTCCACGGATGCTTCCTACAAAATGCAAAAAATCACACCTAAGAACTCATATCCATGCCTATTTATACATGTACTCAAATGCCACTCATATCAACAAATCCACAATTCATTCCCTAAACGAAGCAAAAGTAACTCTACCTTATGACTATCCAACCACGCAATCGTCTCATCAACTGCCTCTTCAATCGTCTTCTTATCGTCATCGTCCAGTTTTCCACCCAACTTCTCTTTATCACCAATCTGGTTCTTCAGCGAGTACGCGTATCCCTCCAACTCATTCCTGGCCTCCACTTGCTCCTTCACCTTCTTGTCGTCCTCTGCGTACTTATCGGCATCGTTGATCATTCGCTCGATATCTTCTGGTGACAAGCGGTTCTGATCGTTGGTGATCGTGATCTGATTCTTGTGCCCAGTGCCCTTGTCTTCAGCCGTCACGTGCAAAATACCGTTCACGTCGATCTCGAACGTCACCTCGATTTGAGGCACACCTCGCGGTGCTGGCGGAATACCGGTCAAGTCGAATTTGCCCAACAAATGATTGTCCTTGGTCATCGGACGTTCACCTTCGTAGATCTGCATTGAAAAACATTTGCTGTATACACACAAATTCACATGAAATTGCATTGCACTTCANAAATCGCAGGTCTATGATTCAAGGTCGATTTTTCATAAACTCTTCCAATGATTACCTGAATAGTGACAGTGGGTTGATTATCGGCAGCTGTTGAGAATATCTGACTCTTCTTGGTTGGGATGACCGTGTTACGATTGATCAGTTTGGTCATCACTCCGCCAACCGTCTCGATACCCATCGTCAATGGATTCACATCCAACAACACAATGTCACCTGTATTCTCTTCACCCGAGATAACACCAGCCTGAACGGCAGCACCGTATGCGACTGCCTCATCTGGGTTGATTCCACGAGACGGCTCCTGAACAATGAATTACAATATGAAGTAAAGGGAAAATTTATAGAACTTTGAAGATGAAACAAAAATTGAATGAAAAAACCTTAAAGTCAATGAAAAAAATATGCTGAATTGTCTGTCACCTTTCCATCGAAGAAGTCCTTGATAAGCTGCTGAACTTTCGGGATACGAGTTGATCCACCAACCAACACTATCTCGTCGATGTCTTTCTTCTCAAGGTCTGAATCACTCAATACCTAAAACGCAATACGACTGAATCATTCAATCCATGAGCGCAAGGGAATAAGGCCAAAAGTCTTACTGTTCAGTTCTTCAATGCTGCACGTACTGAATATTATCAGAAAAGATGAACAAACGAATAAGCACAGCACAGCAACAAACCTTTGCAACTGGTTTCATTGTCTCTCTGAACAAGTCCATATTCAGTTCTTCGAATTTGGCGCGGGTGAGTGTTTCAGAGAAGTCTTCACCATCGTACAACGACTCCACCTCGAGTCGTACCTGATGCTGTGACGACAGCGCTCGCTTGGCCTTCTCGACCTCACGTCTCAACTTCTGTACTGCGCGACTGTCTTTTCGGATGTCTTTGCCGGTTTTCTTCTTGTAGAGCTTGATGAAGTACTCCATGACACGTTGATCAAAGTCCTCACCACCCAAATGCGTGTCACCGTTTGTGGCCAATACTTCGAATACACCGTTATCAATCGTCAGCACCGACACATCAAATGTACCTCCACCCAAGTCGAACACCAGAATGTTACGTTCACCTGAAAACATTCATCAGTTTTATTCGAATACTTGCATCTCGATAATTAATGCGCCTTTCTCCTATTCTCACTAAATACATTTTTTTCATCTCATNCTCAACTTTACCAATACACCTGATCATACTGGATTCAAAACCACTCATAGACTGAATTAACTACAATCAACAGTTCGAACAACCACTCAATTCGATTCTGCCCACTCGCACTCATCTTAATTCGATGCTGTTACTATCCAACTCAGTATCATTCACATTACCAAAACCATCCAAACGAAGCAGAGATATGATGGATGACCTTCTTTTTTGTCCAATCCGTAGGCAATTGCTGCCGCAGTTGGTTCGTTGATGATACGGAGTACATTCAGACCGGCGATCGCGCCCGCATCTTTGGTGGCTTGACGTTGTGCGTCCGTGAAGTAGGCGGGCACAGTGACGACGGCATTTTTGACCTCCTTACCCAGGTAGTCCTCGGCAATCTGCTTCATCTTACCCAACACCATGGCGGAGATCTCTTCCGGGGTGAAGGTCGTCACCTTCTTGCGTACCTCGAGCTGTACGTACGGTTTATTGTCCTTGTTGATCAACTTGAATGGCCACACTTTCATATCCTCCTGAACGGACTTATCGTTGAATTTACGTCCCACTAAACGTTTCGCATCGAACACCGTATTCTCAGGATTGATCGTCAGTTGATTCTTGGCCGCGTCTCCGATCAAACGCTCTCCCGTGTCTGCAGTGAATGCCACATAGGATGGGGTAATACGATTACCTTGATCGTTCGCGATTATCTCGACACGACCATTCTTGAATACACCCACACAACTGAAATTCAATTAAGCATAAGTCCATCCTCACATCATTATCATACAATCAATCACACCATCGATTCACAAGTAAATCGATAAAACACACAATCTGAAAGAGTCTCTCTCACCTGTAAGTTGTTCCCAAATCAATACCGATCGTTACACCCAGTTTCGTTTTATCGCTACTATTCTTCTCCTCACAGAAGACACATACGGCCAAAAAGGCCACTGTACCAAGGGCGAACAATGTTCTCATCCTTTAAGAAACAATAATTATTACGACACTAAAACAGTTATATCACTGAACATAAACGATTCACGCGCGAGCATGCTAATGTCATTTGTATCACTGAATGCAAATCAATCGAAATTTCAAACCACCTATTTGCAATCAACTTTTTGGAACCAATCTTCACTTATTTCAGAATCCGGTGAGTGACAATTAGATTTCCGACAAATGGACCCGCTACAGTTGGTCCCGTGCTAGTCGGTCACCTAAAACTCGTCTCCGTTGACGCATTCAATGGTAAATATGCTTTCGCACCACTGAGGTATCGAATTTAAATGAACTTTATGAGACAGATTAGCACGGGCCAAATATCCAGGGTGCACTTGTCGGGGGTCCAATTGCCGTACATCCTCACGATCAGGATCAGAAAAAATTTACGACTACGATATGCTGATGCCTAAGCAGCCAGTGACCTACCCAACCCTTACGATATAGTCTTCTCAAATGACCTTCTCCTAATCCTAAAGTTGACACGAATGGCTAACGTTTCCATCATCAATAATCAACTACTGAATAAATGATATCAAAATGACACGTCATCATAACAACCAGTAAGGACTTAAGAAACGTCAGCAAACACTGAAAATCCGGCAGATCTGAAGAAAATCAAA